TACCCTCGTGGAGCTTACATTGCTATGCAGTTCATTCAAACGGTTCAGTTTAACAAACGAGTGTCGTCTGCCTACAACGTGTTCAGCACTATGCTAAGCACTAGGGGTACAAAACTGAGCAAGGCTTAACCCCTAGCCTCACGGCTACAGTCTGGAGAGAGAAGACCTCCAAATAGATCATTTCCATGCATTGTGGCGAGGAGCCTAGTAGAGTGAAGCCCAGGGTTTTGTGAAAGCCCCGAACAGGGCCTCCCAGCTCAGGCATAGGTGGTGGGGGGAGCGAAGGAGATCAGAAAAAGTTTTGCTGGAGAAAGTGATAGAGTGGAGTCTTGAGGGAAGACTGAGTCTTAACAGGGTGAAGGGGGAACTGACAGGCTAAGCAAGGCATGGTATGTGGAGATCTATAGGTAACTTTGGGCTGCCGGAGTTTGAAATGTAAGACATGGGTGGGGCGCCTGGGTGGCTCAGTCGGTTGAGCATCCGACTTTGGCTCAGGTCATGATCTCGCGGTCTGTGGGTTCGAGCCCCGCGTCGGGCTGTATGCTGACAGCTCAGAGCCTGGAGACTGCTTCGGATTCTGTGTCTCCCTCTCTTTCTGATCCTCCCCTGCTCATGCTCTCGCTCTCTCTCTCTCTCTCTCTCTCTGTCAAAAATAAATAAACATTAAAAAAAAAAAAAGAAATTTAAGACATGGGATGGCAAGTGGCAAGAACAGGTCCTAAAGAAGTAGGGTAGGGCCCAGTCCTGGAGGGCTTCATGTGCCAACCCTAAGGAGTTGGAATTTTTATATCCAGTCGTCGTTTTCAAATGTGGGTGTGCATCCCATTCATTTGTGAAAATTATTTAAAACCAATATATCTGATGCCCATGGCCCATCGCACAGCCCTGAATCAGAATCCTTGCTGATGTTTATTTTTAACAGCTTAAAAGGTTTCTCCTACACTCAAGAGTTTGAGTGCTTCTGCTATGGGAAACAATGTAAGGTTTTAAGTAGAGGCATGGTAATCAAAATTGTGCTTTGGAAATCTCACCGTCACTCTGACAGGGTAGAAGATAGATTTGAGAGGGAGAGAGAGAGAGAGAAAGAGAGAGATTGGAGGTAGAGGCAAGCCGAGAGAGTTTTCTAGATGAGAGACGAAAAGGATGTGGCTGGAGGCCCAGTCGCTGTGCAGTTGGGCAGACGGATGGAGGGGGTGATTCCAAAGGTCATAAGTAGTTGGAATTGGCAGGTCTTGGTGATGTGATCCACAAGATGTGGATGCAAATGAAGAAGGATTTAACGTGTTGTCTATGTAAGTAGAGATAGGAGTGTGTAGACATCACCTGAGATCAGTCCCTACGAGAGCCCTTGTCTGTCCTTCCCATTGGCCAGCAAGGGCCAGGCCCGGGGAGAGTGCTTCATGAATACTGAATCAAACATGGCTGAAGGGAGTCACGACCCTCAAGACTCTCTTCTCCAAACAAGCTTTCCCTTCATTCCTTCGTGCAACGCACGGCCTTAATTCCAACTTCAGGAAAAGCTTTCGTCTGCATGGTTTACTCAGTGCTGCACATTCTTAAATTAATGTGTATTGGAATTTAGCGCCCACCGTGGCTGTGGGAAGACCCTTTAAAGATTGGTTATATTGAGTAGAATGTGCTAGAACTGCAATTAGGGAAAAGACAAGGGGAAAAATGGGCTTCTCTGCTTGTCTTGGAGTGCCTCATCAAGATTCTGTGGTGAGATTGTCTTTTTCTTATGTATCCCCTGACCTAACGATAAAAGGTTATGAAGCTTAGAAAGAACCCGGGACATTTCTCGTATTGCGTTAGTACTTTCTCTGACCTGAGGCAAAAGTAGACAGAGACACCGAAGTGATTGTTCTCTCCCTTTTTGGCCCGTCTCTGTTTTTCTACCTTCAAATTGTGCTACACGCAATTGAGTTGTAGAAAAAAAAAATATTTTAATTTCTCCAGATCCTTTTAAGTTATTTTTTCAATTGTGTGGTTCAGTGACCTTCAGAAGAGAAATTTCCCCACCTCTCTTTATACTTAATTATGTTTGCTTACATATAATGAAGGAAAGTAGGAAGGCAGGCAGGCTAGTCCAGAGGTTCTTTTTTAAAGAATTTCTTTTAATGTTTATTTATTTTTGAGAAAGAGAGAGAGCACAAGCAGGGGAGGGGCAGAGAGAATGGGAGACACAGAATCCGAAGCAGGCTCCGGGCTCTGAGCTGTCAGCACAGAGCCTGACGTCGGGCTTGAACCCACAAACTGCGAGATCATGACCTGAGCCGAAGTCAGATGCCTCACGGACGGAGCCACCTAGGCGCCCCGCTAGTCCACAGGTTCTGAAACCCTGGTTGCATGTTAGAATCACCTGGGGAGGTTTTAAAAATCTTGATACTTAGATTGCATCCCAGATCAATTAAATCAGAATCTCTGGGGGTTGTGACCCAGGCATTAGTAGTTGTTAAATCTCCCCAGATGATTCCAGGGTACAGGCAATCTTGAGTCCTACACTGGTCAAATAAGCCCCATGTGACCATATTTTTCAATATGAACCTATTTTTCAAATCAGGACATGAACGGCAGCTGTAATTTCTTGTAATTTCTACTCTGACGGGCACGCTCATGTATCTTACCTTTTTCTCTCAGGTCAAGCCTGTTATTTGGGTGGGAATATAACTCCTTTTCACTTAGGAGGAGCAGGAGAGAGGGGTAGCTTGTTCTGTATCATATAGCTAAGTGCCTGCCTGACTCCAAAGTCAGCTGACTGAGCTCAGTCGACTATCAGAATAGTGTGAGGGTTGCTGGATATTTGTGTTTCGGGTAGGAGACAATTTGGGTATTGTAAGTAGAGCAACAAAAAGTTGAAAATTCATAGACATTTCTGTAGTTTATGGGGATAATATGCAGCAAATTGAAGTCAGGAATGTCTTAGATTCGGAGGCATGTGTTAGCTACACATTGCCATCTCCTGAAGCCTTAAAGTTGCTGGATTCAGAAGAGGAAGCTTAAAGTAGGAATAGGTAGATTTGTGTCACTCCGGAGCCCATGGTCTTAGTCACTGTACCATACTGACTGCTGAAAAGGAGCTTTGAAGGGAGGGAGGGAAGTGGCAGGATAGTGTATTGGATGGGAAGTTATTCTTTTTTTTATTTTTAAATTTTTTTTCAACGTTTTTATTTATTTTTGGGACAGAGAGAGACAGAGCATGAATGGGGGAGGGGCAGAGAGAGAGGGAGACACAGACTCGGAAACAGGCTCCAGGCTCCGAGCCATCAGCCCAGAGCCCGACGCGGGGCTCGAACTCACGGACCGCGAGATCGTGACCTGGCTGAAGTCGGACGCTTAACCGACTGTGCCACCCAGGCGCCCCGGATGGGAAGTTATTCTGAGCTTGGAGAATGGCAAAGAAAAGGGGACCAAATCCTGCCTAATGCTTTCTGTGGTTAAGATGTTTTCCTAGACAATTGAATTGTCTTGGGGTGCCCCATTAGATTATAGGATCTGGGAAAGAGAACTGTTAGAGTTCTCTTTGATTGAGTCATTGAACCTTAATATCTGAGAATTGCTTTTATAACACGAACATCAATGAAATCCTATGGTAAAGAAAAATTTGCCCAGAATTGTATCACTGTAAATATAAAGGTATTTTCTTTTGTCCACGCTCTGCTCTATCTGGTCCTTGGGTTTAAGTGTATATACCGTGTCCACACTGGTGAGTTAAGGTCTGGCTTACCTAACACCATATTACAGAGATTGCCCCATGCTGCTTTAAATTTGCCATTTCTTAAAATGTTTCATTTTGAGAGAGAGAGAAAGCAGGGATGGGGCAGAAAGAGAGGGAGAGAGAGAATCGCAAGCAGGCTCCGTGTTGTTATCACAAAGCCCAAGGCAGGACTTGATCTCACAAACTGGGAGATTATGACCTGAGCGACCATCAAGAGTGGGATGCTTAACCAACTGAGCCACCCAGGCACTTTTGACGACTGTCTTATTTCATTGAGCACTTAGTCAAGCATTGAGCTAAGTCACCTATTTGGGGGCATTTGGTTTGTTTTTCATTTTTCAATATCATAAATCATAGTATTATGAATGCCATTTTTGGATGTAATTTTTTTCCCTTCTATGGGGTCATTTCTTTGAGATAAATCCTCAGAAATTGGATATTTCTCAAGTTTAATAAGACAAAACTTTGATTTATAAAACTAATATAGGGGCGCCTGGATGGCTCAGTTGACTGGGTGTATGACTTCGGCTCAGGTCATGATCACACACTCTGTGAGTTCGAGTCCCACGTCGGGCTCTGTGCTGACAGCTCGGAGCCTGGAGCCTGCTGTGGATTCTGTGTCTCCCTCCGTCTCTTCCCCTAACCCACTCGCATTCTGTCTCTGTCTCTCTCAAAAATAAAGAAACGTTAGGGGCGCCTGGGTGGCGCAGTCGGTTAAGCGTCCGACTTCAGCCAGGTCACGATCTCGCGGTCCGTGAGTTCAAGCCCCGCGTCGGGCTCTGGGCTGATGGCTCAGAGCCTGGAGCCTGTTTCCGATTCTGTGTCTCCCTCTCTCTCTGCCCGTCCCCCGTTCATGCTCTGTCTCTCTCTGTCCCAAAAATAAATAAACGTTGGAAAAAAAATATGTGTGTACAAAAATAAAGAAACGTTAAAAAAAAACCACTAATATATGTCCAGGGTATGCAAATAAGTAATAGATTATTGCCACTTTTGTTACATAGAATGATAACGGTTATTTACATTTTCTAAATCGAAGCAAGTTCTACCAAGTTTATTATATTAGGAACAAGCCTTGGACCTCTTTGTATCCTTTTTGAAATAGAGAACTTAAGCTACTCCAGCCCTTCTGCCCATCCTCTTTGCTCGGCAAGAGAGCCTGGTGATTTTTTTATTTGATAAGGTACGAGTCTTGAGACTTAGAGAATCAGTGGCCCACCTCAAAACTGACATGCTTTGATTTGCTATAGTGTCTGGTTAACAAGGATCTTTTTTCATTTTCTTTCAGGGACAGTTGGGTTTTTTTCCTGCTTTTGGTTTATCATTAAAATCTACAGTGTGGTGAAAGTGGATTAAAGAACGCACCCAGGGGCTTCCAGGCACATCACCGTGGCTTTGGAATATATACTTCTGTATCTAAATGAACATCTATAAATAGATATCACTTAAAAATCTCATTGTCTGGCTTCCGTTTGTATGACACAAAATACCGAGTGTGTGGAAAAAACAGGTTGGGAAACAGGTTTATTCAAAGTCAGACCATTCTGAAAAGATAGCATAAAAAAGGTTTAATTGAAAGCAATTAGAGCAAGGGAGGCACATTTCCTTACGAAATGAAAGGTGAGCACACTGGCTTTTCAGATGAAATGTTTTTTTTTTCTTTTTCCTTTTTCTTCCTCATTTTGTATATGGCATCAGAACTATCGTCAAATAAATGTTAAATAAAACGTGAATTTTTCTAACGTCAGTGAATTGGACAAACTGTATTCCATTCTTGTAGTTGATCATTTTATCTATCTATCTATCTATCTATCTATGTATCTATCTCTATGCCCATTGTGGGGTTTGAACTCAGGACCAAGAGTCACGTGCTCTACTGACTAAGCCAGCCAGGTGTCCCTGGGTGACCATTTTAAAAATGCACATTGGTTTAGCATATACAGTTTATGAAATACCAGATACCGCTGTCATATTCTTCAATTAAATCTGCACATTTCTGGTTATTGGTTGTCTTTTTCTGTTTGCCGTCCTTTGGAGGTTGAGAATGTTCAAGTTTGACTTAGCTGTGTGTAGATTAAAAATCTTGGGACTCAATTCTCTTGGATTTATTTGCTTTGACTAAACAATAGTCAGGTGTCATAACTCCCCAAATGTCAGGAATTTGTGTGGCAAATATTCTCCCAGCTTGCCGTTTTGGGGAAGCAGTCATGAAAATCATACATTTCCTGTGATAAATTTTATTGATAATTATTGGCCTTATTGGGGAAAACGTTTGAAAACAACGTACACATATGCTTCAATTCATGAACATTCTCAAAGCCGTCCTTAAGCTGAGGAGTACTTGTTTGTGTGTGTGTGTGTGCGCGGGGGGGGGGGGGGGGTGGATAAAAGAAGGGGGGTTACCCTTGAAGGGGAGATTGAAAATCAGAAGGACAGGGTCAGAGAGTTGCATTCTGAAGGAGAGTTGGGGGGACGTGGAACTCGACTGGTTTCCTCACGGAGGGAGGTAATTCCCGAACCACTAGGATGCCTTTGTCTACATTGAAGGATCAGGGCTCTGATTGGTGGCAAATAGGCCTGGGACCTGGAGCTGGCCGGTGAGAGAGGAGGGAGTGGCTACGCAAGGTCAGAGGTGTCTCTTAACAGTGGAATTTTCAGATCCTCTGACTTTCTTCCATTCAGTCTCAGAATCATAGGCTGAGCCCTGTGAGGAGTAAGTGCAGTTACGAGATTCATTGGAACCAATTCCATTCTCCTCTAAATACTTTGAACTAAGCAGTTGTTATAGTGAGCTTCGGGGGACTCTTCTCCCGCCGGGTTGGCTGCCTGATAGTTTTATTTAAGCTCACAAGCCCTCCTGCTTGCATTAATGGTAGTAGTTGGCTCGAAAGGCAAATTTATTAAAAGAATGAGATCTTGCCATTTGTTACGCATGGATGGAGCTAGAGGGTATTATGCTAAGTGAAATAAGTCAGACAGAGGAAGACAAATACCATAGGCTTTCACTCATACGTGGAATCTAAAAACCAAACCAAAACAAATGAACGAATAAAACAGAAACCGACTCATGGATGCGAGAACAAACTGGTGGTTGCCAGAGGGTAGGGGTGTGGGGGGATGGGCAAAATAGGCAAAGGGGATTAAGAGGTACGCACTTCCAGTTATAAAATAAGTCACGGAGATGACAAGTGCAGCAAAGAGAATACCATCAATAATAGCGTAATAATGTTGTGTGGTGACCGACGGTGACTATACCCACCGTGGTGAGCGGTGAGTAACGTATAGAATCGTTGAGTCACTACGTCGTACACCTGAAACTAATATAACATTCTAAGTCAACTATGCTTCAATAATAAGGGCTAAAAAGACAAAGGCACATTTATTTCTGCAGCAGGAAAAAGTCGCCGCCTAGACGTGGCATTCACAGGTTAAGGTGAAGGTAGCCACATGCGGGTCTCATGGCAGCCATCTTTGAACATCGTGAAATACAATGTGTCAGTATTTAGCTTGATTTTGGAGTGAAAACTGGAGAAGGGCTCTTCACTTTGATTGAAACGGAGATGAATAGTTCCCTGAGCCCCTGCGTGTGGGCCCTGAACGCCACTCGGGAAGCACGAGGCACGCGATTCCTTGAGCAACTGCTGATGAAATGACAGAAGAAGAGCTACGAGTAGGTCAAGCACGTCAGCTCCAGACGAACTCGCGGGCTCTTAAGTTTTAGACATATTTGACTATTTCATCCGTGTCCCGTGTGTACATATTTCACGGTTGGCGTTCGAGGTGTCACCGTTTTCTCCCCCTGGGGCTCCAGGGAATATGCACTTGCCCTCTTGTCCCCCAGACCTTGGTGAGCCGCGGTGGCTGTCACCGGATTGGGCCCAGGGAGGTGTTCTAGTCCTGGCTAGCGGGGCACCGGGGGGTCAGGAGCCCAGTGGGGGGTGGCCCGGGTGCTGGGCAGTACTGTTTCCTGAAAATGAAGGCTATTCCCTGCCCCGCCCCGCCCCCCCCCCCCACCTCATTGCCTTGGGAATAAAGACGGGCACTGGTAGCCCCACAGGCCACCCGCTCTTTCTCCACTCTGCCCCCCCCACCCTCACTTTGACATCCTTTTCACTCATAGAGGGCTAGGCACCCGCCCCTCTTCTGCCAAGCCCATCAGGACGGCTCCCCCGTCCCATTGCGTACTTCTTAGTACTTCTTATATCGGGATAGCACAATGGGAAATCTCAGAGCCCCCGTCTTTCGTTCTGTGTAATACAGTTAGTTCATCCCGCGTCTTCCCTTGCAGCGAAAGAGGAGGCACGAACAGCTGGTTGTGTGTCTCCCTCGCTGTCTTCCCACATAATGACCAGATACGCACATTAAAATTAGACTTTATTTAGCATATTTAAGAAGAATACCAAGGACAGATTAACAGCACCTATTTAAGAAACACAAACATTACTCAATAATAATTAGTTAAGCCACAAACATCAAACTCA